CTCCTTAGGTATTACATTATGGAATGCGACAAACTCATCGAAACAAATGCTCAAAGATGAGCCAGATCAACATGTAGATAAATCTTTAGATAAACATAGAGAAAGACTCGCCGCTTTGGTAGCTGGTGGAAAATGTTCCCAATATTTTGGGGAAAATTATACCGTCGAAAAAATTGATAACATGACCGATGAAGAAATTAAAAAACTGTACGCACGTTACGAGTCTAGACTGGGAGCTACCATGACTAAAACAATAGGTTTGGCTATGTTACAACTATACACAGTCGTAGCTAGTACGTTTCTCTCTATCCCAGCAGAACATCACATGTATTTATGCAAATCTCTCGAGAAAGACCCATTCATCGAACACTCTATAAGCGCAGTGAGTTGTGAGTTTTATCATAGATACAGAATGTTCTTAGCTCTGGTGACCACCGCTTTAATAACGGCTAGGTATTGTCAATTTTAACATACGTGCCCACTTAATAATAATGGAGACTCAAGTGACAATTGTGAATGAGGAAATACCACAAGCCAGAGTGACGAAGAAGAAACAAAAAAAAATGGCAGCCGGTAGGAAGGGCGGGTGGCAAGGAAAGCGAAAATAATGCATAATTCAAATATTTAACATAGTCTTCCGATTAAAACTTGGGCACTAGTAGGAGTTGTTGCTATAGCAGCTGTATGGTTGTTTTATAAGACCGGAGAAGAGAAAACGTCACCCCTGATTACATAACAAGTTCAATTAGAGGTTAGCCCCCATATAATGCTATAAGAAGCATGACTACTCCAGTTACAGATGGTAAAATGTTGGTAAACGCAACGTATCATTCAGCGCTGGTCAGCGGCTTGGCCATTGGCTATGCCCGTATAGCTAAAATGATTACTAAAGCCACACCACCCAAGCTAGATTTTAATGGTTATGATATCGGTATGATGATTCTTGATATTGTATTAGCAATGGCAACAAAAGATATGCTCATCAAACAAGGGCTTATCCCAGAAGACATAAAGAAGTAATGAAACATTTGAATATATTATATTCATATAAACATGGCATCAATTGCGATGATGGTTGGTGGAGCTGTTGTTAATGCTCTAGCTTTTTTGGGGAGTAACTTTTTATTTTCTAGTATGAGAGGTTCGGAGCAGAAACGACATAATAAAGCATTAGAACAACTCGAAGCAGCCCAGTCACAATGGACCAGGAATAGGATATTAAGATAAGATTTTATTAATGAAGAACTACGTAAGCAAGGACATTCAATTCAAACGTTTAAGGATGTTGAACCTGCTATGCATGAATACTTCCTCATTTATGGAAAGAAACAATGCGAGATAGCATTCATAATGACAGGGTTGAATGGTGTGGCTATTTTAGGTTACACAATAACTACGCATAAACCATTACCTAGTTAGGGCTGGCGAGCGAGTCACTCTGACTGCTAATCTATAAATAGCCATGTCACCCTGACTCACCAGTGGAGATGTGATTTGCATTTAGACAAATGATATGATAGATGTATAACCATGAATCTGTGCAGATTTACACTCATGGGGAAGCCAACTCAATGCAACCAACGTTCTGTTAGTATTTACTGTGGCATCCACTCTTATTACATCAGGCAGGGAAACATTAACTATACATGTTCTGTATGCAGGATAGGGGTCAAAGGTCGTTATTGTTTATGTAAGAAACACGGTGCTGATAGGGTCAGGAACCAGATTATTTACGCTAAGAAGAGAGATTACATCAATGAAAGGAATAGGTTGGGGAGAGTACGTATTTAGATATATGAAAAACAACCAATTAGACATTTGACTCATTTTGCATATACCATTAAACCACAATGGTTTTTGTCAGAGAGTTGAAGGCTTTAGCAAAACAACGTGGTCTACATGGATATTATCAAATGAGAAAAGCTGAATTGATCGATTTACTCGGTTTAGAATACAACAAACCCCAGACTGTTAGAGAACTCAAAGCTCAAGCAAAAAACAGTGGGCTGAGAGGTTATTCTCGAAAGAGAAAAGCTGAATTGATCACTTTACTAGATAATAATCAATCTGATGATGATGATAAAAAACAACAAGATGATGTTGATAAAAAACAACAAGAATAAAAATTTGTGCCCACATCAGCAGGCGTTGGTAAATATCTAAGAGGTTAGAAGATGGATATTAATTCCAACATGGATGTTAATGATGTTAAGCCCATCATATCGAGCAAAATTAACGAGGAATTAGATGATTTACATGGTATAAAATACAAGCTGACGATTAAAATGTCATTGAGTAAAAGTAGCACAGACGATAGCACTGAATATACCGAACCATATTTCTGTAGCAATCAAGAAGTTATAACCGAATGCGTTACTATAAACGCATCATTAGATACATCAATTCAGAGGATACAGGAAACTTTAGAACGCTGGACTAATAGAAGTTTGGGTTGGGGTGTGGATAAAATTGATAGTTTATATTTAGATATAGCAAATTATATGCCCTTCAAAGGTGGATCTTATATAGATTTACCCCCGTATTATAAAAAGAAAAAAGCCATAATTAATGTAAAAAATAAATCTGATGACTGTTTAAGAATGATGATAAGATCTGCATTGTTCCCCGTAGATTCTCAAATTGCAAATAGACCTTCTAGCTATCCTCAAAACGATGGACTCAACTTTGATGGCATAGACGAACCTACACCAATATCACAAATTGATAAGGTGGAAAAGCAAAATAATTTAGCTATAAATGTTTTCGGACATTCTAAAGGAATAGTTGTACACAGGATAAGCTCCGCTCCAGAACATATTCCCAGAATCAATTCATTCCTGATCGAAAAAGATGGAAAATATCATTATACGTGGGTAAAGAGTTTAAACAGGCTATTATATGATCAAACGAAACATAAGGAAAAGAAATATTTCTGCGAAAGATGCCTACATGGGTACAGCAGACAAGATCTATTAGAAGCGCATAAAGAAGACTGTAGAGGTGTTGGACAGAATGCTATCAGGATTTATATGCCTAAAGAAGGGAAAAATATATTAAAATTTGAACATTATTGTAATCAAATGCCAGTACCGTACATAATTTACGCCGACTTCGAAGCACTTATCAAACCGATAGAAAATAATCAAGATAATAATCAAGATAATCAAGATAGTAGTTTTACGTACAAAACTCAAGAACATATTCCTTGTGGGTTTGGATATATAGTTGTAAGGTATGATAGGAAAACAAACCCGCCCGTGATTTACAGAGGTCCCGATGCAATGGGAAAGTTCCTAGAATATCTTCAAAACAAAGAGAGAATAATCAGGGAAAATATATCGCGTAAGAAACCAATGTGTATGACGAGGGATGATTGGAGGGTCTATAAGAAGTCAACGAGTTGTCATGTTTGTAATAAGCCCCTGAATGGGGATTCCGTAAGAGATCATTGGCATGTCACGGGTAATTATCGGGGAGCCGCACATAACGAGTGTAACTTGAAACTAAAAATGAATTCTAAAACAATACCCATCCCCGTTGTGCTTCATAACCTTAGAGGATACGATTCTCATCTCATCATGCAAGCTATCTCCAAGACCGACGGCGGCTTAACGTACATTCCTAATAATATGGAAAAATACATATCATTCTCATTGACTAAAACTATACATTATACAGACAAGGATGGGAAACCCAGAATAAAGCAATGTCTTAGATTCATAGACTCCGTACAGTTTCTGTTATCTTCCCTGGACAATTTAGCTATTGCGAACAATCCCGATGACTTTGCGATAACAAATCAATATACCGATCTGTGCCGTCATTTGTTGCTGAGAAAAGGTGTATATCCTAACGAATATATGGATGATTGGTCTAGATTCGACGAAACTAAATTAGCACCTCTTGAATCATTCTATAGTAACTTAACAGAATCTAAAATAACAGATGCCGATTATGAACACGCTCTGACGGTCTGGGATAAATTAGGTTGTAAGAATTTAGGTGATTATCACGATCTGTACTTAAAAACCGATGTACTGTTACTCGCCAATATATATTTAGAAAGACATGTTTAAAACAATACGGCTTGGACCCTGCATGGTACTATTCCAGTCCCGGACTATCGTGGGATGCATTGTTGAAGAAGACCTGTATAGAACTAAAACTACTCACTGATTACGATGTGCACTTGTTTATTGAGAAAGGATTAAGAGGTGGTATATCGATGGCGGCTAAAAGGTATTCGAAGGCTAATAATAAATTAGTGGAAGGATATGATCCGAGTAAACCCGACACGCATATATTATATCTCGACGCCAACAATTTGTACGGATGGGCTATGAGTCAACCTTTACCCACGGGTGGTTTTGAGTGGGTCGAAGTGAATGATATCCATAATAATGATGTGAATAAAGGGTACATACTAGAAGCTGACTTGGAATATCCAAATTCGTTACATAAAGATCATAACAGTTATCCGCTAGCTCCCGAACGATTAATGGTTAATAAAGATTGGATGTCAGAATATCAACACTCCTTGATGGGTAATACTAGATTATCTAACATAGAAAAACTCGTACTAAATTTGATGGATAAGACAAAATATATAGTTCACAACAGAAATCTCCAGTTGTATCTATCGTTAGGTATGAAACTTAAGAAAATACACAGAGTTCTAAAGTTTGATCAAAGCCCTTGGATGGAGCCCTATATAAGGCTGAATACAGCTTGACTACGGTGGGCCTCTTTTTCACCACGCCTGATTTCGACATGGTGCTTTGTTAACAGTTTAGTTACTGATCCCATAAATTCACGACGAGGATCTACTTGAAATAGCTTAGGCCATTTTAGTGGTCCACGTTTATATATGCGGCTCAGTGCTTTAGCTACTTCTGTTGAATCTTTCGAGGTTAATGGCTTAGCCCCATGTAGTAGCAGTATAGGTATATAAATCTTGCTCCAGTGGATTTGCGGCAGAACCCCCATTACCTATACTACTACTCTTATATAACTATCTAAATATATCAAAAGCTTGGGGTTATTATGAAAGCGGTCTGAACATTCACGTTAATATTACCTGTGACGATATGCTACATACATCGAATTGATCGGAGCACAGGCGGCACAGGAACATAGTCAAACGAACCAAAGAAATGGCAGGAACTCCAGAAATGGAATATCGATATCTTGGAAAGTCTGGTCTCAGAGTTTCTAGCCTGAGTCTCGGCACCATGATGTATGGCAAGGGAAAGGTAGGTCAGTGAATAACATGTCAGAAATACGTAAATAGTTACATATACCGTTTCCAATGCTTGGTCGTCCGTCGTATGTCCATCGGTTCCATGAGAGTATTTGTTTCCAACTGTTTACCAGGCTTTCCTTTGTCCAACGTCTTCGTCAGTGCTCCCGAACTCTTCCACGCCAGGAATACATTCATGAACATTTACATTGTTTGCATTATTCACTGGTATCTCCAGTGCTTCCAACGTATCCAGACCCGTAAAGATCCGGGGTAGAATAGGTCTTCAGCAACCCATGCTTGCCGTGAAAGGCGACTATGCTTGTCGTAAGAGGAGACTAACGGGATCGGGTGGTCAGGATCGCTGACTTGGTTCATGCATGTCATCGATCTCAATTGCGTGGATTGATGCTCATGGTGTCACTCACTGGATTGTCTGGTCCAGACTCGATTATTTACAGGCCGCCGTCATATGGCTGGAATATTGCTGAGTGCGACGTTTAACAACAAACAAACAATCAAACGTCTCCATGGTAATGTTCCACGGGAATCCATATTGGTCATGGGTACCGTAGTGTTTCGAATTCATGAGCATCTTTCCCGAAGACTTGTTGCGATCAATGTGTTCTGTTAGAAGTCATGGAGCATGGCTGTGCTAGAACATGTACATCATATATAGATGGTCTATTTAACACCTCCAGACCGAATTCCCCGGAGGGTGTGACCAGGAACAGGCACACGCCATGTTGGATCACTACACACTCAAGGGAGGTAACTTCATTGACACTGCTGACGTTTATGCCGGTGGAAAATCTGAAGAAATCGTTGGTCTCTGGCTGCAAAAGTAAGTCTGATGTAAAGCAAGAGTGTATTTGTCGACTTCTAAACATTTATACACTATCAACGCTTTAACCCTTTTGTTACCCGGGACCAGAATGTGTTCAGTGTATTCCATGAATGTCAGACTTGACTGAAATAGTTGTAATGTGTCTCGACTTAACTGGTTTCTTACCATTACGACTGTGTTTTCTTTTCTTAATGGATGTGTATTGTGAGCCGACCTTAGATATTCGGAGGGAGGTGGGGAGCTGGGATTTTATCGAAAAACATAAATTGTCCCTGAAACTACTTCAAATAAATACTTTTACTCACATTGCTGGAAATTGTTGGCTCATAGTTTATAGTTTAAAAATATCTGGTTTTGCAGCTATAGCTTGAAAATATTTGGAAAATATACAAAACCACAGCTGGTTCGGCACGGCATAGCGACGTACAGTGCACGCCTTACCTTTCATTTTAATATTTGGTTTTGTTGATGACATCGTGCATATGCTATTCAAATAGACAGTGTGCTTACAAGTAAGCTTTTTAACGAAGCTTTTACAATAAGTTATTCCATAACTGTGAGAGATTTATTAAACATGAGTCGTTGTTTGTCAGCATGACGCGCGATGCTTCCCCATGCTACGGCCAACACACACCTTCTCACTGTCCCTTGCATATGTAAATGTGTGTGGTGGGTGCTACAGCTAGGAATTGACCTTTTTATATTTTGGGTTGGACTTGGGATTTTGTAGCGAGATTGGATGGGTTTGTTTCAGCTGTAGCTACAAACTCAGATGCTTCTGTATTTAAAACTACGAACCCTGAATTTGTTTTTCAGAAAAACATCTTGCAACAATGTAATTTCCTTTTTTTCAACAGTCTGAAGAAAAAGAAATTCACGAATTTTCGGGAACAATTTTCATTTTTAGATAAAACATACCATGCAAATTTGTTAACCCTTAGCTCAGCAGGGTCAACCACGTCTACATCTCTTGCGAAAGCTACGTTCGTTTCAAGTAAATCAAGCTGTGATGTCTATTTTACATTACATTCGTTCAAAGTGTTCTTGAATACCCCGTGGCCTAGTGGTAGAGCGTCCGTCCGTCATATCACAACACGTTAAATAATGTTACTTTTTGTTACCCTGCCTGACACTCGGCCTTGATAGGGTTAAATAATGAGTGGTCGGTTCGGAGTGAGTATACAGTGTTTGAGTAGGGTATTTATGTCTAACTTCGACATGGAATTTTAGTGGGCTAGCACTATAAATCGGCATCAGTCCGGACTAGCACGAATAAACACACACACACACACACACACACACACACACACACACACACACACACACACACACACACACACACACACACACACACACACACACACACACACACACACACACACACACACACACACACACACACACACACGACGCTGACCCCATCTCATCTGATCTCAAAGTATTATTACTTTTTCCTCCGATTGTTGCTACGAGTCTCTTTCAGTTCAAGGGGGCACGGGTGGCCCAGTCGTCTAAGACGCCGCGATTCGCTGTGCAGAGTTGCGTCCCTTAGGCACGCCAGAAACCTATGATTGTGGGTTCGAATCCCGGTTCGCCCCGATTATGTTTCTAGGTTTGTCAGCACCATACCCGTGCTCGTGGGTTTCACCGAAGTGGTAAACGTCTGAGACCTGCATCACTTCGGGCTTTCCTGCCACATTAAGCTGACACGCCGTGATATAACTGGAATACTGTTAAAAGCGGCGTTAAACCCAACTCACTCACTCACTCGCTTTCAGTTCAACACAAACGAAACTTATGTTAGATCGAAAACATTGCAAGTGAAACAGCTGGTGTCAAATTTGAACGACTGTCATCATTACACGAGCAACAAGCCGTACATCAAGTTGCCAAAATTAATACTGACTCAACTCATTTCTTCAATGCTGAATACAAACCTTTGCCTTCAGGCCTCCGCTATCAAAATCCGGTTGTGAAACTAGAATAACTCGTTCTTCTTTGATCCCAAATAATATAACTTTTTCAAACAAATTTTCTTATTATATACATGTTTATTTTTATGTTGCCCAATGCTTCTTAAAATCATTTGTTGTCTTCTTTTACGTAATATAAATACATCTTAATCGTTTTGTATTTTAATAGCCCTTAGCTTACATCCTAGCATATATTTATGCATTTAATATACACATCCGTCATAATTCACCTCTAGAGTATATACCTTCACTGTCTTATGTATACTTGTCACGTGTGGCTCTGTCTTAATATTTTTTTGTGATGTACATCAAATTCATGAAAAGGTAATAGAGTATTATTATTATGTACAGATTAAAATAGAAAAATGCAGCAAAGAGGGTTGGGGTGATGCTGGCACAGTCAGGCATGTAAGGCTCATCACCAGCTCAAGGCTCTTGCCCCCTCTACACGCAGCCCAAAGGGCGAAGGGGAAGATATTATGAAGTAAACGTCATGCTATGTAGGTCCCTGGTGTCCGTAGGGGGTGGCAGGAGCTAAGCCCGGGGGGTAAGGCTCGGCGGCTGGGTCTATTACGTGTCAACATGTCAGTGAGGTGAGTCGCTGTTCATGCTGTCAGACACTTGTTTGTCTGGTCCGTTAAACGATTCCCACCAACTGATTCACATTGCAGACAACGCCGTGACGACCACGTTGTTGCAACCAAGGTTGGTCTGGGCACTCAGCACGATCCAGGTCTTAGAGGGCTTAGCCGGAGACACATCACAAGGAGTTTGGAGAAAAGTCTGGAACGACTGCAGACGTCGTACGTTGACGTATATCAGGTATACCTGTAACATAATAATATTGACATTTAATTGACTTTCCCCGTTCTCATTTGGAGCCAAACGGCCTGTTAGAGGTGTAACTTATTTTCTTCCTCAGTTTTGTGATATAATGAAGTCTTTCGACTAACATATCGAACAACAGGTGCAATGTATTTATGCTTCAATGCATTTCGCATTAACACAGACCACGCGAGTCCAACTACACGTGGCTGTTTCATAACAGGGATTCTTTTATTTGCAAACACAGAACGATTGTTTTTAAAACAGATGAGGGGGCACGATTCGATGTCCAGACTGATGCCGATTTATAGTGCCAGCTCACTGTTATACCATGCCGCAGTTTAACATGAATACCCCACTCAGACACAGTATACTGGCTCCGAGCCGACCAAATGTTAGAGGTGTAACTTATATTCCTCCTCAGTTTTTGTGATATGATGATGTCTCTCAGACTTACATAAAACCACCATTATATGGAACAACAGGCGCAATGTGTTTCTGCTTCAATGCATTTCGCATTGACATGGACCCCGTGACTCCAAGTTGCATAACAGGGATTTTATTATTTGCAAACACAGAACGGCTGTTTTACATAACCTGTTCTGAATACCACACTCGTTAACCAGTAGACCATGACCCGAGACAGCCGAGATGGGACTTAATTTAATACAAAGACACAAAAACACTTTCTCAATCTGACATAAAATATAACCTAATTTGTGCCGCTGAATTGTTATTTTTATTAACACTGTGTGCATAAATTGTTTGAGAGGCATTACTTAGAAGTTGACGGATGACAAGGTTGACGCAATTTTAGGGATAACAACTTCGTAAGCAAGACTGTCTTTATTGACAATAGTGGTATATATCAGCGGTGTGTGTGTTGTGTCTGCGTGGTGTCTACTTGGTGTGCGCGGTGTGTGCGCGGTGTGTTCGTGGTGTGTGCGTGGTGTCTGCGTGGTGTGCGCGGTGTGTGCGCGGTGTGTGCGTGGTGTGTGCGTGGTGTGCGCCGTGTGTGCGCGGTGTGTGCGCGGTGTGTGCGCGGTGTGTTCGTGGTGTGTTCGCGGTGTGTTCGTGGTGTGTTCGTGGTGTGTGCACACACCGCGCACACATCGCGCACACACCACGCACACACCACGCAGACACCACGAACACACCGTGCACACACCACGCAGACACCACGCACACACTGCGCACACACCACGCAGACACCACGAACACACCGCGCACACCACGCAGACACCACGCACACACCACGAACACACCGCGCGCACACCGCTCACACACCGCGCACACCAAGTAGACACCACGCAGACACAACAAACACACCACGCACACATCGCGCACACACCACGCAGACACAACGCACACACGACTAACACACCGCGCACACATCACGCAGACACCATGAACACACCGCGCACACACTGCTCACACACCGCGCACACATCGCGCACGCACCACGCAGACACAACGCACACACCGCTCACACACCGCGCACACCAAGTAGACACCACGTAGACACAACAAACACACCGCGCACACATCGCAGACACCACGTGTGTGCGCGGTGTGTGCGTGGTGTGTGTGCGGTTTGTACGCGGTGTGTTCGTGGTGTCTGCGTGGTGTGTGCGCGGTGTGTTAGTCGTGTGTGCGTTGTGTCTGCGTGGTCTGTTCGTGGTGTCTGCGTGGTGTGCGCGGTGTATTCGTGGTGTCTGCGTGGTGTGTGCGCAGTGTGTGCGTGGTGTCTGCGTGGTGTGCGCGATGTGCGCGCGGTGTGTTCGTGGTGTCTGCGTGGTGTGTGCGCAGTGTGTGCGTGGTGTCTGCGTGGTGTGTGCGCGGTGTGTTCGTGGTGCCTGCGTGGTGTGTGCGCAGTGTGTGCGTGGTGTGTGCGTGGTGTGTGCGCGGTGTGTTCGTGGTGTCTGCGTGGTGTCTGCGTGGTGTGCGCGGTGTGTGCGCGGTTTGTGCGCGGTGTGTGCGTGGTGTGTGCATGGTGTGTTCGTGGTGTGTGCGCGGTGTGTTCGTGGTGTGTGCGTGGTGTCTGCGTGGTGTCTGCGTGGTGTGCGCGGTGTGTGCGCGGTGTGTGCGCGGTGTGTGCGTGGTGTGTGCGTGGTGTGCGCCGTGTGTGCGCGGTGTGTGCGCGGTGTGTTCGGTGTGTGTTCGCGGTGTGTTCGTGGTGTCTGCGTGGTGTGTGCGCGGTGTGTTCGTGGTGTCTGCGTGGTGTCTGCGTTGTGTGTTCGTGGTGTGTGCGCGGTGTGTTCGTGGTGTCTGCGTGGTGTGTGCGCAGTTTGCGCGTGGTGTGTGCGCGGTGTGTTAGTGGTGTCTGCGAAATACAAACAAACATATACACAGTCAAAAATATACAACGCAGTCAAACATATAAAACACAAACAAATATAAAACGCAAACAAACACAAAATCCATGATCAAACATAAAAAACACAGTGAAACATACATAACACAAACAACATATAAACATATAAAACACTCAAACATATAAAACACATTCAAGCATTCAAAACACACACAAGCATACAAAAACCAAGAAACATAGAAAACACTATCCAAAATATAAGACACTATCGACAAAAAGCAATGCATGTTTCCAAAGTGAATTTCAAACATTTATGAAACATTCCCAGGCATATTGTTTGTAATCCCGTGAACGTTCCGAATGCATGAGAAAGGCTCTGCCTTAAAACGAACTAATTTTCAAATTATTAATGAGTGGTTGCAATACGTTTGTTTCCTAGTAAGTCATGTGATACAGTTGGTTCAGTTTGTGATAAAACCTTAGAGACGGCTCCAGCAAAAGCAATTTCTGAATAGCCATGTTAATTTCTTAATTTGATTTTTTGTTTGTGTCTTGTTTTACGCCGCGCCAATAGAGACTCGATCAGACAACCCAGTGATTGACATCATGGGCATCGATCGTCGCAGTTGGGATACAATGACATGCATCCACCAAGTCAGCGAGCCTGACCACCCGGGCCTACAAGTCGCCACTTACGGCTTACGGTTGCTGAAAACCAAGACGAACCCGGGTGTCTACGGGGATGTACTTTCTGAAAAGCCATATTTATTTGTTATAATTTTGTAAATAGAATACAAACAAGTTTCAATGTGCATGCCAGTTAAACTTTTTTTTAAATGTTATTTTCAAGATGCACATGTGGGACAAGGGTACGCCTATAGAAGAGACTGTGCGGACATTTGATGATCTGGTGCGGTGTGGGAAGGTGCTGTACTGTGGCGCCAGTAACTTGACGGGATGGATGCTGCAGAAGCTGGTGGACACTACAGAGAGGATGGGCTCGAACCCGTTCGTAAATCTACAGGTAATGGCGTTGTCGAGTGTACACAATACAGGTGGACTTGGAAGACGCATACCCAACCGAACCAGTACAAATTGTGGGCATTATGATGGCGGACCCGTCTAAACCGCTACCGCTTTTGTTTCCAGCTTCAGTCATAATTCAAAGTCTTCTTTCGATAAAAAAAACAGTTAAAACCTTGGCAACATCATACTTGAAGAGGGATGTTGCGAAACACAGACGGTATTTCCCAGGTGTGGGTGGGTTATTCTTTATGTTACATGCCGTTTTTTCTTCGGAAAAATGTATAAAACAGTAACTCTATTATTGGAACGACGTCATGTAAATTCATTTTTGACGTCATGAACAATGGATGATGTCATGATAAATGCGTTATACAATAACAAACTCGGTAACCGTGTAACATATACGTTAACTTGCATTTAATTGATTCATCCTTTATATACTGATGTATTGTACCGAAGACAATATCTAGTCAGGTCTAACATCTAGACACGCTTGTCTATTAGAACTACGGTAAAGTCAGATCTAGCATCTAGACACGCTTGTCTATTAGAACTACGGTAAAGTCAAGTCTAGCATCAAGACACGCTTGTCTATTAGAATTACGGTGAAGTCAGGTCTAGCATCTAGAAATGTTTGTCTATTTAAGCTAGGGTAAAGTCCAATCCAGCATCTAGAAACACTTGTCTATTGGAACTACGGTGAAGTCCGATCTAGCATCTAGACACGCTTGTCTATTAGAACTACGGTGAAGTCCGATCTAGCATCTAGACACGCTTGTCTATTAGAACTACGGTGAAGTCCGATCTAGCATCTAGACACGCTTGTCTATTAGAACTACGGTGAAGTCCGATCTAGCATCTAGACACGCTTGTCTATTAGAACTACGGTGAAGTCAGGTCTAGCATCTAGACACGCTTGTCTATTAGAACTACGGTGAAGTCCGATCTAGCATCTAGACACGCTTGTCTATTAGAACTACGGTGAAGTCCGATCTAGCATCTAGACACGCTTGTCTATTAGAACTACGGTGAAGTCAGGTCTAGCATCTAGACACGCTTGTCTATTAGAACTACGGTGAAGTCCGATCTAGCATCTAGACACGCTTGTCTATTAGAACTACGGTGAAGTCAGGTCTAGCATCTAGACACGCTTGTCTATTAGAACTACGGTGAAGTCAGGTCTAGCTTCTAGACACACTTGTCTATTAGAACTACGGTGAAGTCAGGTCTAGCATCTAGACACGCTTGTCTATTAGAACTACGGTGAAGTCAGGTCTAGCATCTAGACACGCTTGTCTATTAGAACTACGGTGAAGTCAGATCTAGCATCTAGACACACTTGTCTATAAGAACTACGGTAAAGTCAGGTCTAGCATCAAGACACGCTTGTCTATTAGAATTACGGTGAAGTCAGGTCTAGCATCTAGAAATGTTTGTCTATTTAAGCAAGGGTAAAGTCCAATCCAGGATCTAGAAACACTTGTCTATTGGAACTACGGTGAAGTCCGATCGCGCATTTAGACACGCTTGTCTATTAGAACTACGGTGAAGTCAGGTCTAGCATCTAGACACGCTTGTCTATTAGAACTACGGTGAAGTCAGATCTAGCATCTAGACACGCTTGTCTATTAAAACTACGGTGAAGTCAGATCTAGCATCAAGACACGCTTGTCAATTAGAACTTCGGTGAAGTCAGGTCTAGCTACGTTTGCCTACGACATCACTATATCAACCAGTCACATACAGGGGCACTGGTCACACAACTGTTAAAGGCGCACCAATAAGCTGTCCGACAGCTTCGGTTGTGATAATTGGTCTGTCCCCACCATACCAATGATTGATTGTTTGTCAAACTCTACAACGTTGTCAAATGTGGTTTTCCTCAGAAACGATCCTGAAGATACATCTCTGGAGATCTGAAAAACCCTCCACTGGAGATCGCTTCAGTTTCACCCTGAGCGAACTGTTGGTTTTAAAATCAATCAGATGCAAGCTTTCTAAACGATTCGGGTTCGTGGCTTTCTCGATTCGGAAAGTAGCAATAAAAACACACAGAACACAAATATATCTTCGACGGTATTCCATTTCTGATAAAAATGCTATGGAACCAGAAACCAAAGTATGTATTCACAAAAAATAGTACAGCTTTATTATTTCCTTTCGGAACTGCCCGTTTATGTTCGTTTTTGAGGTACAGAAATCAGTAATACTGATCTTAATGCTCGCTCGTACACTTTACAAACTTTGATAGAGGGGTTGCCTTCAATGACAGGGGTACCGTATCGTAACTCGTTTATTCTCCTCACTTCAGCAACGATACAGCCTCTGTACCAGGGAGTCTGAGCTTGATGCGTTTGAGGTGTGTCGGTCAGCCGGCGTTGGCATCACAGCCTGGGGAACACTGATGAGGTAGGGACCAACCGTAAAATATTCTACGGGAGGCTAGAAATTAAAGGAGGGTCATACAATCTGTCCAGACCAGCATCACATGAGCACATCCAGTAGCCCAGGAATATGTTTTATTCACGATAGGTGTCACGGGTGGCCCAGTCGTCTAAGGCGCCGCGATTAGCTGTGCAAAGTTGCGTCACTTGTGCACCCCAGAAATCTATGATTATGGATTCGAATCCCGGTTCGCCCCGATTATGTATCTGGTTTGTCAGCACCATACCCATGGGTTTCGCTGAAGTGGTAAACGTCCGAGACCTGCATCACTTCGGGCTTCCCTCCCACATTAAGCTGTCACGCCGTGGTATAACTGAAATACTGTTAAAAGCGGCGTTAAACCCAACTCACTTCCTTCATCCACGATAATGTTAGAAAGGAATATGAACTTTATAAATATCACGATGAAAAGGGTTCATTTTAGAGATTTCATTTAGTCTTTATTTCTAATATTTTGTGATATTGCTGGAATACTGCTAAAAGCGGCGTAAAACCATACTGACTCACTCACTATAATATTTTGACATGAAAAATCCCTATGAACCAATTTGAGAGCTGAGGATATCTAAAGGTTAAATACCTTCAGTTTAAACTCTACATGGCAGGTTAAGCTCCTTATTATTTTTCCAATCATAGCGTATTAAACTGACTTTCAATTGTCCCTCTTTCTCTGGCGGCATTACAACTGAAGTGTGTTACCATGTCACCTTGAGACACTGATATGTATACTGGCATTCATATTGGAAGCGGAATCCTCAGTGGCAAATACAAACGCCAGGAGACATTGGACGGGGGAGGAGATGGACGCATGCGGTGGTTGGCTGGGGAAGAAGATGGCGCACGTCGGTTGACGATATTCCCGTCGTGGTCAAAGCTGCAGACAGACGACATGACATGGAACACGGTAATGGTCCTGGAGAAGATTTCACAAAAACACAGTGAGTGTACTTCGGTATTATCTTGCCTCATTCGCCACAACTCGCCTCTTTCCGTAACCTGCAAGAAGACTCCTCCCCCTATCGATGAATGTTATGTGCGAAAATACGACAAACCAATCAGATTGCGCGTATGATTTCAAAGAATCCCTCAGAAATATGTTTTGATTTTACATATGTCTTGCATCTAAAACTATACCCAAGGCACAGTTAAATGTGTTCAATCATACTGTATAATTCCGCATGTCCAGATGTGCTTTAAATGGCATCTGAAATATATACAATATATGGGGAAATATATGTGAACCATAACGCGACGAGTTGCCAATTATTTTAGGTATGCACGTTTGCGCTAAGACGGAACCCGGTCGCAAAAATGGCCATGAGAGGGGCACGAGTCGCTGTTCGGCTTGTCCCGGAATAACACGAGTTGGTCACGAATGATCTTGCCTTTGTGTGGTATTCGGGCCCACTCGGCTTTTTCGGCAAAAACCTTCCAAAACATAAATTTTCATCAGCAGCAGCAAATAATGAAAACACATCAGATATTCAAAGCGCGTGACTTTTCAAATTTTCTCATAGGTGTCCTGCGTACTAACAACATGGCGCTTGAATAACCATAAGTTGAAGAAATTCTTCCAAAAGAATCTTGAGCGCCGGTGCTATTTTGTTTGCAAAAACACAACTGCAGGCGCATGTTGATAATGCGTATGCATAGAAATGTCAGCAATGTCCATATTTGGGCATATATCAATATTCATGCGCAACCAGATTTTGGAAATGGTTTCAGTTTGGTCTGTCAACGAACGAAAGTTGTCATGTATTTACACTTAAATATATATTTAACGTGGGTAATAAATATAATACCACACTCATTCTCGCTTTCGCTCGGTCAGATACCATAGAGAGTCCACTGGTTTCGTAAAAAAGGTATCTAACGAGAATGAGTGTGGTATTCTCTATTTATCACACCAATGTTGCAGTCTATTAGTTATTACTGTAGTTGTTTGGATCAAGTTTACTGCCAGATTTATGTATAGGTCAAATAATGCTTCTGCCCCAACTCTATACGAATATGCTTCTATCATACATTTTATAAAATAACTTGGTTAATACAGGGACTACACAGTTCTTTGTTTATAAAAAAATTCTCTTGCTAATCCAAGTGGATCAGATAATTTGGATCAGATAACTTTTTATATTTGGAACATAGAAAACACTTCCACCCGTTTAATTCACCCATATAGTCATTATTGTCCACATCAATGGACTGTAGAAATCACTGTGCATGATTTTAAGACTTTCCTTAAGTCATGGAGCTTTATCCTTTGTGTAACATCATTTTGTAACTGGTAGTTTTAAAAAGAAAAAAATGTTCAGTGTAAATATGTTCAAATATTCTTTAAATGTCCTGTAAACTCTCAAAGATGCTCATTTTCCTTTCTTAATTTCAACCCAGCATGTCATTTAACACTTAAGGAATCAATGGAGAAGTTACTATACGTTATCCACCGGTCTCGCGGGGAACATGGGATGATGTTCCCTCTATGTTCCCCGAGGGGCAAGGGCGACACAAACAACCCACAGCATGCATCAACCCGTGCCACTCCACATGGACAAGGAATTTATACTACTCTCACTTAATTATATTGAAGGTATATGCCTGCATGCTTTGCCACGAATCGGTAAGCATTCCAGTGTTAGGCATGTATCCACTTTGTTGAGGTAGAAAACAAATTTAGGGTTTTCCCCCTAGATCTACTTCATTCGGAAATATCCTATCTGTAGTGTCTTGATTTGTTGCGAGTATAATGCTAATAGTTCGTCAGTGCGAACGGGGAACATAGGAAACGTAGCTTACATGTTAGCGGGGTATATTGAAAATAATAGAATGGGTCTCAGCCAATCAGAATACGACATTCGTGTGTAAGGTATGATATATTGCAAGATTTCACTTTTCACTTCACCTTCTGAATGTGTTTATAGTTAATAGAGATAAGGTATATATGGATAGATGATAGATAATGAAAGTCACGCGAACAAGTGAAACTGGAGAGACCATTCCCAATATGTATTCCTCACAATTCTGGCCCATATGACCTGTATGAGACTTCAAGAAATGCCAATCAACAATTTAACCATTTCTTGTTTATTTCATTTTTAGCCAAAATCAAACATGGGTGTATACTTTCCTTTGCTTGACAGTTTATTGTCATGTACTGGCACCTGGCGTGTATTTCCAGACAAGACGATGTCCCAGGTGGCTGTCAAGTGGACATTACAGCAGCCCATGGTGTGCTCGGTGGTTCTGGGGTGCAGGAACCTCGCACAGCTGGATGACACCATGGAGGGCGGCTCCCCCACGTGGCGGCTGGCTCAACAAGATGTACGTACATTTACAATGTCAACGCCAGAGTGAGTGAGTGATTTGAGTTTAACGCCGCTTTTAACAGTATTCCAGTTATATCGCGGCGTGTCAGCTTAATGTGGGAGGAAAGCCCGAAGTGATGCATGTCTCGGACGTTTACCACTTCGGTGAATCCCACGAGCAAGGGTTAGTGCTGACAAACCTAGAAACATAATCGGGGCGAACCGGGATTCGAACCCACAATCATAGGTTTCTGGCGTGCCCAAGGGACGCAACTCTACACAGCCAATCGCGGCGCCTTAGACGACTGGGCCACCCGTGCCCCGTCAACGCCAGAGAATAGTCGAGCAAAATTATAGGAATGGATAACTGAAAATCAGTCATGACACCAGGTGTTCGCGGAATAGTGCTCTACCGACACAGACATATCTCATCTCTCGAGTCTGGACATATACTTTTGCTAGTTACCGGTATGATGACGAACAAGATCGCACTTACAAACCAAGGTGCACTGTTTGCGAGTTCTTGACAACAACGTGACTAGGTTTGTGGCGAGGGGATTGGTGTGTGTGTTGGAGGGGGGGGGGGGGGGGGGGGGGGGTTCTATTTCCACGGCATAGATTAATATTTCCAACAAAAGTCTGTATGCTGCAGGGTCAATGTGTCTCGTCTCAATCTGATAACCTGGTATAGGAACATTTGCACCAAGGGTGAACGTATGCACATGGATCACCAAAATAGTTATCAAGATCTTTCTACAGCATAATGTCTCTTGTCGAGTGACGGGGGAAAGAAGATATTTTCACTCGTGAAAATAGCTGCTTTCCCCCGTCACGAGATGAGGGCAACTTGATATTTAACGAGACACGTGGAATATCCTATTTAGTATATACTATTTGTGTAGTTGTCAACCTGAAAATTAGTTTTTTCATTACAAATTTAAAACCTCGAAACGTAAATGCTACTACACGCAGGGACGTTTCACCACCCCTTGTAATTGCGACTTAAAAAGTAGTTCCGAGTTTTCAAAATCTGTAAAAATATATAAACAAACTAATAAAACACATTGAGGACACTAAAATTCTTCATCGTACATATGGATATGATTTATATACAAAATCAACCATATATTCTCGAAAGCTACGAAACCGCAGTTGGATGCGAAGGAAAACACGCTCGTCAAGCAACAAAAATGTCATTTTGCGAAACGAAACGTCTCGATTGACGAGTTAAATGAGAAATTTACAGTTTATAAGAGAACAACAAATGGCAAAAAACGATATTGACTCCATAAATGACCATCTGTCATTGTTTCGCCTTGTCAAAAAAAAGGAAGTCAACATTCTGTGTACGGGCCATACACTTACGATAAAAGGGAGACAATTTGAGGGGAGGTAACTCTTGAAGACGATAGTTTCGTCAAAATGTTATGTTCACTGCAGTGAAACTATCACTTTTCTCAACTCCAGAAACTCACTCTTTCACAATGAAGTATATAATAAAAGATAATGCTTAATTATCCCGAAGGAAAGTTGGGTTACATTGTGAAAACCGTGAGGAACAAGTAACAGTTTCATGGTTTAAGTTCATACACCGACACACCCAATGCCACCACGAGAAAACGACATAACACCAGCTAATCAATAACAAATGAGAAAAAAAGTGCTTCAAAGGGGAAGCACGTGAGGCATACATTTTAAGGTACCCAGATAAGGTAAATGTGGGATATGGAGACAAAAGTGTCACACGGTTTGATTTTTAAGGAAACATAAACTATCTGTACGAATCATTGACGGGCTGGGTTTGTTTGTTTTTTCATTTCAAGCATGCGCAGTCGACGACCTGAAAGCAAACACCGGCGACTAACGGGATCGGGTGGTCACCTTGCTGACTTGATTGATGCATGTCATCGTAACCCAATTGAGTGGATCGATGTTCATGACATCAGTCACTGGATTGTCTGGTCCAGACTCGATTATTTACTGGAATAGCTGGAATATTGTTGAGCGCGGGGTTAAACAACAAACAAACAAAAACTATAAACTACACTGCCACATAACAAACATACACTACGAGGGATGGTTATCTACTGTTTGTGTAGGTTTGTGTTAGGAATAATTTACCGTTGGCAAATGTTTCGCCAGCAATGGAACTCGAATTTGAATATATAGCTCAGACTAATTATTCTCTGGCGTTGACATTTACAAGAAGAAAAGCTGAAACGTAATGTAGCTGATTTCAGTTAGTGTTTTTTTTCTACAAACGCTTCAAACATATGAGCCAATAGGCGTATATATTGAAAGGAGAACAATAAAGTGTCTGTTTTAATGTTCGAACCGCCGATGTTTTCTACATGGTATTCATTCCAAGTTAGGAGAGACATCCAGGATACAACGCAATGGGTAGATGCATGGCTAGAAGAAGTGGTTTATTTCGTCTGTATCCAAGCCCTATGCCAATGTCCAGTGTACACATATCATTAAACAGAACAATGACAGAGTAAATTCTGCACAATAGACTTTCACTTCGTGTTGATTCCTTCCAGCTAGATGATCTAGACAGGGCCAGCTATGTTCCTCGTTCCATGCTCTACGAGAACTATGGGAAGTCACCGTGGAAGAATCCTTTCCTGATGCTCTGAAGGCAACCTGCATCAACGATACTGTTAAGAGCCTGACCGTTTAGTATCTCCGACTCCACCAACCCCCTCCAGAATGGTTGGTCCTAAAGCACTGCAATCTGATATACATTTTCATTGTATTTCCAGAAGTTGTGATTTGTGCCTTGTGTCGGTACACTGACATCATGTTATTAAAATGATATATTCATTGAGTATAATGTTGTCAATGATCTCTTATTGTATAATATAGGCTTTGCATGTACTGCCTCTATGAATTGACACTTAATAAATGGCAGGTATGTTATGTGCACACATCCACATTAGCCACTGCTTCTTTTAAGTAAAGTAAGTAAAGTACACATATTCTGCTCAAAGTTTGGTAAGGATCACCACTTGAGAATGTAATCGGTCAAATTATGTACATCTGTTGAAATAGCCAAAGACAGTATTGCGTGAAGACATGATTAATTAACAAAGGTCCTTATCATGTTCAACACAATGCCAACAAACAAAGTGCTGATACTTTAGGGAACACCAACTGTCGCCCATTTATAGATGCAGGTGTATTTCCGCGTTTTCCAGGAAATGCAAAGTGCAGGAAGAACTGTTTCATCTTCTTCATGTCTTGAAATAAGTTATACACATCCACAAATACATTACAGATATCTTTAATTCAGTTAGAGATATCTTTCATTCAATTCAAGATATCTTTCATTCAATTCAAGATATCATTAATTCTGACCGTTACTGATATCAAAAATCCAATTAAAGATATCTTTAATACTTTTGATGATATCTTTATATCAATTATTGATATCAGTTAAGTAACATTATTAATGTAACGTCTTTAATAATGGCAACAATTGAAGATATCAATAATTAATTATTGATATCTGTATTTAGTTTCAAGATATCAGGAATAGAATTATTGACATCATAGCAAAACATGACATTTTGATATCTTTAAATCATATTTTGATATCAACAATCGAATTTAAGATATAAGCAATTATTTTCAAGATATCAGTAATACGCTTCACCTTATCCTTAATTCATTTCGTGAATTCTTAAATTTTATTGCAGATATCTACAATTACCTGTATTTAAGATATGTTCAATTCCATTCAAGATATCTTCAATTCCATTCAAGATATCTTCAATTCAATTCAAGATATCTTCAATTCAATTCAAGATATCTTTTAAACAATTGAAGATATCTGTAATTCCGTAATAAATGTGAAAACGCCTTGCCATAATATTGACCGTTTAGATAAAAGACGCGTGTCCGCTAAAGCTGGAGTCAGTGAGTAGAAGTTGTTTAACGCCTAAGTCATCTCTATTCTGACATTTTGCACAACGGCTTGTAAATAGTTGAGGCTGTAGATTATCAGAACAACGATCAACGTCTGAGTCGCGATAACACACATTCAGTCGAGTTTGTTGTTAATCGCCGCACTCAGCATTATTTCAGCTTTATGACAGTTTGTGAGTCATCATGTCTTGGCAAGACAATCCAGTGACTGACACCCTGAACATCGATCTACACAGTTGGGATACAATAACACGCATCTACCAGGTCGACTGACGACCCGATCCCGTAAGTCACCTCATTCGCCAAGATGAGCTGGAGACCAATTTTAACCCGGATTTACACAGGGGACCCTGAACATAACATGTGTGAACATAACCCTGCGTCACAGACATACTCAAAACCCTCCAACACACAGGTATGTGCACTGTTCTTACCTGAATATTGACGGTATGATTAGAACATTGTTACAGGTAATCTATTCCCATGGGGTAGCCTATAAGAGCTTTATAAATCTCATATCGCTGGCAACAAGCTTATTCAATAGTGTCTGTTTGTAACTAGTGCTTTGTGGAGCTTTCAGAAACCCCCTGACGCAACATTTCCGTGTCAGCTGCTTAGAATGAACGGGTTTTCTGTAGGAATTAAAATCACATCATGACATCAGGATAAAGGGAGTGGAAGAGACATGTCTGTATCAGACTGAACGTTGTGTGTGTCAGGGTACACCTATTTCTATACATATTTTTATATTTATATGTCACTTCGTTTCAGCTAACGATGCCGTAGGTGTTTACCACTTAAATGAAACCCACGGTGGGTAGTTGTGGTGCTTTGGTACTGTTTTTATGTATTAATACATTATTTGTACGGTGAGGTGAGGTGAAATGGGGTTTAACGTCGCGTCCAAGATTATTGCACTTATAGTGAACAACAAAATTGCCTGTGACATTGAATAAGATTTAATGCAAAGTTATGTTTTTTACCAAATCTGAAACAATTTCGGTTTGCAACAGATAAAAGACTCCTGTAAGTGTTCAAATGGTTCAATTTGCCATACTGACTTCAGAAAATGCGTGGTTTCATGCGTGTGGCTGAGGTGAAAACGAGACTCGTCAGTGGCTAGATCGTATCCCCACTGCATGGCCGTCAAGCGTAGACGTTGTCTGCACCACTGTAGACGTGCTTGACGGTGGTTTCCTGTCAAAATGGGACGTCTGGCGGGTCTTTTGGCGACAATCCCTGCACATCTGAGGCGACGACGTACGGTTTGTAAAGATATTCGTCGAAGGCCAGGGATTCTTCTTGCAGTCACTGTTGCTGGCTGGTATCGATTTCGTAGGTGTGTTGTTCGAATCCAGTTGTCTTGTCGATCATTGGTTACGTGTGGCCTGCCACACCGAGGATGGTCTCTGACTGCATTCGTCTGTTGCTAACGTTACCATAAATACCAAATGGTGTTTCTCTGGACGTTAAATTGTCTTGCAACATCACGCTGACTCGACCCTGCTTCAAGCATACCAATGGCTCGTAGACGCTCATTTTCGGACAGGCGTGGCATTTCGTAATGTTGAATAATTGCGTAATTTTGTGGGGTTTTTTTTTAGTGGTTGTTGAGTATATATAGCGGCGTCCATACGCGTGTGTGTGTGGCTGCTTGTTCTGGTCCGATTCATAGTGCTAGCTCACACTCAGTGTTATCCAGTATCTCTTATTACACCTTTGTTGTGTTTAACTATAAATCTATCACCGAGAGAGGTAAACTTCATGAGGTTGTTATCCAGTATCTCTTATTACACCTTTGTTGTGTTTAACTATAAATCTATCACCGAGAGAGGTAAACTTCATGAGGGTGTTATCCAGTATCTCTTATTACACCTTTGTTGTGTTTAACTATAAATCTATCACGGAGAGAGGTAAACTTCATGAGGTTTTTATCCAGTATCTCTTATTACACCTTTGTTGTGTAACTATAAATCTATCATCGAGAGAGGTAAACTTAATGAGGTTGTTATCCAGTATCTCTTATTACACCTTTGTTGTGTTTAACTATAAATCTATCACCGAGAGAGGTAAACTTCATGAGGGTGTTATCCAGTATCTCTTATTACACCTTTGTTGTGTTTAACTATAAATCTATCACCGAGAGAGGTAAACTTCATGAGGGTGTTATCCAGTATCTCTTATTACACCTTTGTTGTGTTTAACTATAAATCTATCACCGAGAGAGGTAAACTTCATGAGGGTGTTATCCAGTATCTCTTATTACACCTTTGTTGTGTTTAATTATAAATCTATCACCGAGAGAGGTAAACTTCATGAGGGTGTTATCCAGTATCTCTTATTACACCTTTGTTGTGTTTAACTATAAATCTATCACCGAGAGAGGTAAACTTTATGAGGGTGTTATCCAGTATCTCTTATTACACCTTTGTTGTGTAACTATAAATCTATCATCGAGAGAGGTAAACTTCATGAGGGTGTTATTCAGTATCTCTTATTACACCTTTGTTGTGTTTAACTATAAATCTATCACCGAGAGAGGTAAACTTCATGAGGTTTTTATCCAGTATCTGTAATTACACCTTTGTCATGTTTAACTATAAATCTATCACCGAGAGAGGTAAACTTCATGAGGGTATTATCCAGTATCTCTTATTACACCTTTGTTGTGTTTAACTATAAATCTATCACCGAGAGAGGTAAACTTCATGAGGGTGTTATCCAGTATCTCTTATTACACCTTTGTTGTGTTTAACTATAAATCTATCACCGAGAGAGGTAAACTTCATGAGGGTGTTATCCAGTATCTCTTATTACACCTTTGTTGTGTTTAACTATAAATCTATCACCGAGAGAGGTAAACTTCATGAGGGTGTTATCCAGTATCCCTTATTACACCTTTGTTGTGTTTAACTATAAATCTATCACCGAGAGAGGTAAACTTCATGAGGGTGTTATCCAGTTTCTCTTATTACACCTTTGTTGTGTTTAACTATAAATCTATCACCGAGAGAGGTAAACTTCATGAGGGTGTTATCCAGTATCTCTTATTCCACCTTTGTTGTGTTTAACTATAAATCTATCACCGAGAGAGGTAAACTTCATGAGGTTGTTATCCAGTATCTCTTATTACACCTTCGTTGTGTTTAACTATAAATCTATCACCGAGAGAGGTAAACTTCATGAGGGTGTTATCCAGTATCTCTTATTACACCTTTGTTGTGTTTAACTATAAATCTATCACCGAGAGAGGTAAACTTCATGAGGGTGTTATCCAGTATCTCTTATTACACCTTTGTTGTGTTTAACTATAAATCTATCACCGAGAGAGGTAAACTTCATGAGGGTGTTATCCAGTATCTCTTATTACACCTTTGTTGTGTTTAACTATAAATCTATCACCGAGAGAGGTTAACTTCATGAGGGTGTTATCCAGTTTCTCTTATTACACCTTTGTTGTGTAACTATACATCTATCACCGAGAGAGGTAAACTTCATGAGGGTGTTATCCAGTATCTCTTATTACACCTTTGTTGTGTAACTGTAAATCTATCACCGAGAGAGGTAAACTTCATGAGGTTGTTATCCAGTATCTGTAATTACACCTTTGTCGTGTTTAACTATAAATCTATCACCGAGAGAGGTAAACTTCATGAGAGTGTTATCCAGTATCTCTTATTACACCTTTGTTGTGTTTAACTATAAATCTATCACCGAGAGAGGTAAACTTCATGAGGTTGTTATCCAGTATCTCTTATTACACCTTTGTTGTGTTTAACTATAAATCTATCACCGAGAGAGGTAAACTTCATGAGGGTGTTATCCAGAATCTCTTATTACACCTTTGTTGTGTTTAACTATAAATCTATCACCGAGAGAGGTAAACTTCATGAGGTTGTT